CTAGGATGTCAAGGGGATCCCTAATTCCTTTGGATTTTCTATTATACCCCCCTAATGACCTCAAAACCCCCCCTAATTCATTATGGTCCTGCTCCTTTTAAAATTAGTACAGCCCCTTCTAAAACGCTCATGAGGAATTTTTAGGGTCCCGGATTTATTATTAATTATTGGGGGGGTTTATTAATATGGGGAAGAGATTAGCATGTTGATTCCTCTAAGCTGCAAAATACATAACCTCACGGTTTTTCAACCCCGGGGTGGACTTATGATCAAGCTGTCGGCCGTTGTGGTTCCGGGCATACCAAGAAGAGCTGAGGATGGCACATCTTGTGGATGGAGGTACATGGACAGGAATATTCCAATGGTGAAGGAGCTGCTGCATTGGGCGCAGCTGAACACCTGTGCTGACATGACCAAGGTGGGGATCTCACCCAATTTCCTCCTAGAGTACAGGAGGTCCCCCTTGTGTAGGAGTTCGACTGATTTGCTGCTTTCCGAACGTGATAGCCCTAAAAAAAGGTGAAATCCCCAAATCCCCAAATCCCCAGCCAAACCCTTAGCCCTGTACTCCTCCTTGTATGTTACATCCGCTTTTCTTGAAACTGCTAGGTATTCGCCACAGGCTGGAGCCAGGGAGGGATGTTTACCAACTACCTGGCGTGTCATGCCTCTCCTGCGTTTTTCAGTACAGCCCTTTTGTCTCGTTTTACGGTCTAGAGGGTTTAGGGTTTCCTTTTCTAAGTACAGCTGCTTCTCCCTTGTGATTTTCCAGCACACCGTAACGGTTTAGGTTGCAGGGCGGGCTTCAAGTTTAGTCCTTCTCAAATTAGCTCTTGCTAGTAGGAAGGCCTGTTTCCTACGAGAGAGTGGCTACGAATTTTGGTAGATGCTAATATACCAAAGCCCACACCCGTACCCTCTACCTTCAGCCCTATTCCTTGGACCTGTACCTCTATAGGTGCATGCTCAAAGTAAACCGCGCAGCGTATTCTGGACCATTGTACCCTCTACCCGACAGACGACATGACATGCGCTAATCCATTAAAATCTCGCTCGACCTATCCCGAACCGTTTGCCTTGAAACAAAGAAGGCTCAAAAGCCTACCTTAAACCCACTACCTATGTATACCGTAATCTCTCATCTTATCTTAAGCCATCTACCAGGACATCCCAAACCCTCTACTTGGAGGTTGGGCCGGAAATGAACTACTTAGGACTTTCACTTAAAACCAAGTTGCAAGTCACCTGAGTCTGGTTGATTTATATAGGCTTTAGCCACAGTCACTAACAGCAATCACTTGAATTGCCCGACCCCTCGTAGTAGCCTTGATTGCTGACCGGCAGAGAGGCCTCGGAACTCTTCCGCGGCTTCGCGCCCCTCTCGGGCGATACCCCTCCCTACCGCGACGACGTCTACAACAGCCCCTGCGAGCCGAAGCGTCCCATCTCCTACGTCAGCTAAGTGGCAGCATTAGGATTCAGTATTTGAAGTGTTCACATAGGGTTTATGGTGTTGGGTTCAGAGGTTTGAGTCTGGGGTTATAAGCCGAATTCAGGGTCTATTTTGACGGTCGGTGGAAATCCCAGACCCCCAAACCACCAAACCACAAGTGAGGCATGTGCGGCACTGAAGATGATGAGGCAAAATGCCAGAATACCGTGGTAAGCACTGCGGAAAGCTTCTTAGCTGGCTGAATGCATCGTTTGGTAGGGCTACTACTCAAGCTCTTAATAGTCGCTTGGCAATTCCAAAATCCAAAACAAGGACCCTAAGACCATCACACAACGGTTATCCGTAATATGAGGGCTGAGCTTCATTGGTTCCTGAGCTGTTTGAAAAGTGGCCTGTCGGTGTGTTGTTCAAGGCTCCCAAGGCCTTCAGGAGCTTCGGGTGGACTGAAGAGTGGAGTTTGGAGTTTCGTTTATAGTAATTTCTTTAGAGGATCCTTCTTGTGCATGTTTAGGGAAGGGTCAAGCATTCACTCAAAACCCAAACCTTAGGTAGAGGCAACAAAGGCTGGAGCTACCGAAGCAGGTGCAAAAATGCTGGCTTGGCTGGCGCAACGCGGTTCAACTTCTCAGCAACCACCTCCTGCTTCTGGGTGTGATTGTTTAGGGCTTAGGGCTTGGGCCTTGGCATCCCCGTTTACTGCAGCAATCGTCGCGAGAGAGGTGCTAGCATTTATGATGGTCCCAAGGAATTTAATTAACATTAGGGACTGTGTCAGTCTGGGGGACTTATCCAAGTGATTTGAACAAACAATGTAGCATGTTTATGCCAACCCAGACCTCAGAATGCACATGCGTTGCCCCAAACACGGACACAATGCCAAATAGTTGGAGCATGGAAAATGGCACGAAACTGCTAGGGTTCACTTACTCGACGGCTTGGGGAAAGAAATGCTGACGTTCCGATTTCTGTTTTCTCCTGTAATACAGCTGGTAATGATTAAGCTCGCTGCTGACAATTTCCACCCTCCACCTGAAATTGTAGTCCTTGAAGCCTAGTCTTCAATGCTTGTCCTAAGGCTTCATGTGGGAGGCCTGTGAGGCGCAGAACTTTGTGGAGGTGTGCTATTCCCAGGGCCTTGGGCATGATCCTGGGATCAGATTTTTGCATTGGTTTAGGGTCTAGGGGTTTAGGCCGTCGAGGATCCTTGTTGTCCTGCAGCTTTCAGTTCCTGTTGTATCATGATACTGCTATGAACTCTAAGGGCAAGATGCATAAGTCGTTCCATGATGTGTGTTAACTGTTGCTGGAAGCAATCTTGCACCACCAGGGATAGACATGTTCAGGGAATTCCAGTGACCCTGGGTACGCAGTACGTACAGACTTTCCTACAGCCACCGTACTCCAGACTCCAGACCTTCTAAATACCTTAAGGCCCCAAACCCCAATCCCGAATCCGCAAACCTTCAAATGGCTGAGGATCCCAGCGGCTATCTGCGGCCCGATGACACCAGCTACATTCGCCCCTTGGATAACTTTCAACACCGCACGCGGTGGAGGGTGCAGGCTTTGAAGGGTACAGTAGTGGATTTAAGTTTTAGGGGTTACTTCTAGAATTGTTGGCATAATCTCTAGATGCTGATGACCTAACAACTCGTATGTAGTGGTATGGTACTCCTAGATGTACGCTGAACATCTAAAACGCGTCTCTATATCAGCCTCCCATTTGGGGGAGTTGAAAAGTCCACAAATTCCCGTGCGCCCGTTTCTTAAAACATCTGTCCGCCTACGGATCTCCAAAGCGCAAATTCCAATTGGAGAAACCTAGCATAGAGTACAACTAGACAGTACTGCTGGATGCTTGATTCTTCAAGCTTTGGGGGAACTATCGGGAACAACTGGAATGCCCATTGGTGTCATATGGTTTGCCTTCAATTCCTACAAATGCTACAGGAAGTTTGCGCCCTTTCTAAATGATCCTGGAGTTCATTGTAGAGTTTTATGAGTACCTAGGTCCAATTAGGAATGACATTGCTTTTCTTCATTATACAGAGACTACCCAAGTGAAGGCTACCCACTTGTACTGGGCTTTGAAGCGATGACCTGAATCCTGATCCCACTAAATCCCAAAACCTAAACTACACGATGTAGACCTTGCTAAGGCCCTGGAAGCGATCTTGACATCGCGAGCTACGTGTTCCAGAAGTTCTCCTTGTTGCTGGGCGGGGGTGTCAAGATTATCATCCCTTCGCAGGGGCATCATAGGGTTTGCACAAGCGCAATACAGGAGGTCGACCTTTAGCACGGGAACTTGGATCTAAACACAAACCTTAAGCTCAATCCTAGGTCCTAAGCGCTAAGCCTTGGCTCTAAATAAGCCTGAAATCTAAAACACGCAAAAAGCATTAAGCTCCGCAGACTGTGAAATCCCCTGCCAAAAATGAAGTTGAATCTCCAAGGAACCCAAACCCCAAAAATCTTAAACTTCTGTGAAACATTCCCGTTTGCAGCGAAGGCTGGTGGGTGGAAGTATCCTCTTCATGGGTCACCCTACGAAAGAAGAGTTGGCTTACAAGGACTCGGAGCCAAAAACCCTTGAGTTGAGTAATTTGCGGTCTGAGAGCTTTTGGAGGTGAAGGTCTCAGGGTTTGGAGGTCTAGGCCTAGGAGATTGGGAGTCTGATTTGCAGTTCAGGGTCTGGGGCGCAGAGCCCACGAGGAACCCGCACCGCCGCGGTTTCTCCAAAGCGTTCACCAACCCCAAGCCTTTGTTCTTTTGCCTCGCCACCCCCAAAGTTCCACAGCCCAACGCGCTTCACGCAAGAGTTCAACCCGCCTTGGACATAAACACAACCTGTAGGCTTCAAGAGTCCTCGGTCTGAGGTCGAGGGTGTAGCTGAGGTCAAAGATTGGCAAAACAAAGTGGGTTCATGGCGGGCTTCCCAACCTCCACTTCAATCAACGCCTCTGGGCCCTGCGATCTATACCTGCCAAAGCCGTTTTGGTGCAGTTCCATCCTGAGGTTGCCATTCTCATGACCACTGGTTCGTTTTTCCTTCTAGAGACTCTGCAAGTGTCCTACAGGTTTTCCTTGCAGGAGCGCAGGCATGGGCTCCTCAAGAATTCCCCAACAGATGTTCGGTCAAATCAAATGAACTCCCGCCAAAACCTAATAACGCCAAAGAGCTCTGCAAGGAGTCGGCTTGGCCTCCTCCACAGCACCATGACCACATCTATATCCGAAATGGCTCCCTGAACGCCGCGTAGAACTGTGTGGCAGTTGAGGGGCTGTTGGGGTTTTGGAGTTGAAGGTTCTGCAGCTTAATCGTCGCCTTGTGGCGCGCCTCATGATTACAAAAATCCAGGCTTGACTTGATCATTGCTTCTGCAAAGAAGCTGGAGGATGCGAAAAGTTTCACTTCACACGTTTCACACAGCGTGCCAACCTCGGGGAAAGTGTCACCCATGAACCTGGCGTTCTACTCGTCACATTCACATAGTCACTGAAAGTATCAGCTGACATTGGATCTAGTAGCAGCAGCATATTATGAGGAACTGCCAAGGTTCCCCATTTGACCCTCTCGAATACATGACATGTCTTACAGAATGCCCCTAGAATCCTTATCCTGTTCCTCCCTAGACCCCGTAGAGTTCTTACAATTTGGGCAAAATCATTTTTAAACCCCAAGTACCCCAGATCCTGAACAGTAAGCCCTAAAGCATAAGCCCCAAGCACTAAACCCCAAACCCAAAGCTCAACCACGAACCCTGCATCCCATAATCCCCCACTCTGTAATGAATGTTAAGTCAAATTACTGTCCGTCGAGTCCTTAGTGCTCAGGCCGTCAGGGCCGTCAGGTTCCGATTTGAAACCGCCCGAGACAGGTCAAGACCTCTGCATGGGCTTGCTTGAGGGGAGTTGTTAGGACTCGTTTTGGTTCTGGGTCGTTGGCTTTAGGGATTATTCGGCGGAGCATTAGAGGCACTAGAAGATTTGTGAATTCTAGTGTTGAGAGATTGTGGCTGATGCTTTGGGGATTTTAGGGTCAGGGATTCGGGTTTAGATTTACGGCTACCCGCTTGCACGTTGTACTCAGAACCCAATGATCAACGTTTGTCGAGGACTCATTCTGGATATGAGTGTTTAGTTCTTGCAAACTGGCAAACAGTCATCCTTTAGATGAAGGTTACCTGGCCCCTCCAGAGGGGTAACAAGTTTCATTTGCTGGTGTCTCGTGCTTCTGTCATCCTTCCCTCGCGGCTTAAACGAACAGATGGAGACCACTGGTTTGATTCATGACGAAACCCTAATGAAGGAGTTGCTGCTGGTGTTCCTTTAGCGGGCTTGGGTACGTGGCGAGAAGCACTCGAGCCTGAAGCCTTCAACCCTGCACGGCGCACTCACAGCTGCAAAGCGCTTGCATCTGAACCCCCAATGCCGCCATCCGTCATAATTATAGCGAAAGCTGCCAAGCGGCGCAACGCCAACCGAAGCTTGGTCATATGAGAAAACAAATCTATCATGAGCTCATCATAGAACCCAACTGCAGGCGAGGCCGCGCCATCTCCGTTGCAGCCCAAGCTATCGAGACTCCATGTGGGGTGTCTCAAAATGAGGAGTGTTGAAGGGGCCCTAGGCAACATACGGTGTCTAGAAAGGGATTATGGCCAGCCTTATGAAGGACTCTATCGGGGTACCTATTAGGTGCGAACTTCCGAAACCATTGGGCTCCTGTGTGGATGCCTTCACACAGGGAGTCTCCTTGTGCTAGCCAGGTGTTGGTATGCTTGTAGTCTCACCCTTTGGGGCTTTAACACGTGTCCTTCCTCCTTTTAAGTAGTTCCTCTAGGACCATCAATTTGGGGAACCTTGCCTATCCGTCGCAGCCAAGGTTCGAGTGCACCTTCGGTACACATGGGGTGGGCCGCTCAGGCTTCTATAGAGCATGGCTGCTCAACTCAGGACGACCTTGCTCCAGGCCCCTATATGTGGCCGAAATCGAAATCCTCACCTGAAACAGTAATCCTTATAATCGTCAACGAAAACCAGCGAAAAAAGTCACCATTGCCCAATTGGAATTATAGTTACATGAGAAAGTTGATGAAGCAACATAGAAAGTTGATGAGGCATTTTCCGGGCACAACCTGGGACTGTCCGCGCAGCACTCCACACCAGAACAGGGGTGGGTTTTGTGGACGAATTATTTTGTGCAGAAGAAGTAAACGGTCCATGATAAGCGCCCGAAGATCAGTCTGGCAACAAGGGCACAGGCATACGGGATCCTGCTCGATGACCAGGTCACGCAACTCAGTCCATGCCCGGGCAAGAAGTCCCTGGCTGACATGGAGGCGCCAGCCGGTGTGCGCTGATGCGATCCTCCACTAGCTTGGGAGGATCAGAGGGAGAGCCGGGTTCTGTGTAAGGAAGGCCGGGAGTAATATTGAAAGGACTATGGGCAGACGAGCTGGAGCCGGACTGCAGCAAGTTGCTGCTGCTGTACCTAGGGCTAGCTGATTCAAGTGCACTTGTCGTGCTATTTCCATGGCACTGGCCAGGAGACGTTGCGCCGAATGCTGAGTCTGCCAAGGGTAAGGGTTCAGCTGGTGGATCTATCGATTGGTGTCAATGAATTGTGCCGAGGAACTGGCCATTTCACCGTGATAAAGGGTCCATCGAGCCGGGGCCCCACGACCGCTTGCTCGCAGAAGCGCCGTTCACAAAGCAATTGCGTAGTCTCAGTACAAATGTGTGGTCATCTAAATGTGCAAAGTGGCATGGTAGAGTTTGGCATGCTTCCGAAATGCGCTGCACGGTGAACCTCCCGGTCCGAGGCGGCCGGAGATGGATACGTGGAGAATCCATTGGACGCGGGTCTCTAGGCTGGAAGGGGACACCAAATGCAAAAGAATTACACAGATGGTTCTCAGAGGACTTACATGGATCTCTTCCCAGTATCAAGTCCACCCTTTGAGACCCAAGAAGCATTGAAACCAGCTTTCGCGACACAAGCCGTGCGGAATCTTCACCTGCGACCCACACAGTCTCTGTACAATCTGCGAACATTGGCTCTCGTTTGTTGAGAAACCTTCCTACAAATTTCCATACATCTTAGCCTTACACCCGGAATCTCAGATACTTTTCGTAAACTGCCAGGAACCGTGTACCAAGCCATGGACCAGCAAACCGGCCAACTCCTCGCGGTAAAGGAGGTTCGCGGTTTCGGGTTCTGGGGTTACGGTTTGGTCTCGGGTTCTAGGTTTCGTGCTCGGGGTAGTTGTGGTCAGGAAATGGGTATGGCCTGCTTGTAGTCCCGTGCAACCTGATTGACTCACAAATGGCAAGCCAATCAGTTATTAATTTCTGAAAGTCTTTCAAGAAATATCCCGCCGAACAATACGTGGAATGTCAGGCCCGGGATAATTTGTTACTGAGATGGAAGGGGGATGCATTTCTACTAGGGGCAAGCATTGAGAGACGGCACGGTCCGCTGCCAGGGTACCTTTTGTAGTCTCCGAAAGGGGCTCCGCAAAAGAGTACCGAGTGTCCATGGGCCTTCTTGAGTACTCCCAGCTCCGATCAACAAAGGCCCCCCCCCCCCTGCACCAACAAGAAAAGACGAAATCGCAGAATTAGAGCACGAAGTAGTGGTTTGTATGGAATTCTAAAGTTAAATCTGAATCTCTGATTCAGCAACACCTTCTCGTGCTTTTAGAGTTGGACAGTTCTCAATTTCTGCTTGGATTCGATTCTGAATTTTTGGTACGCCCAAACTGGCGTCTGCCTTTAAAGTGCTCTTGGACATCAAATCTGGCCCAGATAACGCAAAGCATGCTTCTGGCTTCTAGATCAGACATGGCAGCGGCAGGTAGTCATCAATGCTTCTGACTCCGCGGATTTAAAGTTCAAGGAGCAGCTCGAGAACGAGATTCAAATCGTCAAGGACTATGTCAGTGCATAGTTGGGAAATGCAAGCACGCAGAAGCTTGCCGGTTTAGCTTGTACGCTGTGCCTCAGCATCTCAGACATCCTTATTTCCTTATCTTGACCCCGCAGCTACAGGTGAATTTGTCAGGGGCGCCTTGTGAACCTAGAGAAATAGGCTATTGCAAGACAACGGTCAGAGTCCCCTCACATGATTGTGTAGCTTTCATGTCTTGGAAGCTCCAATATAGATGTGCTTGTCGCAGATCACGGGTTCAGGGTGTAGCCTTTTCCCTGTTGGCTGTTGGGTTGAGGGTCTTAAGGCTGGGTGTATGCAGAAAGTGAACTTCTGCGGTCAAAATTCCTAAAGGTACAAAATGATAGAGCTTCTCAGACTCATACGACATACAAAGAAGCCGTCATGACCTGACATATCAGTGTGGTTTCCAAGGGCCATATCCTCGGCTCCTGAGTTCATTTCACTCTCGCTGCTGGAGCGCAGCTTGAACAGGCTACCTCGCTACCTAGTGCTTTGCAGCGAATGAAGGAATCGATCTCTCTACGTACTAGTCCCTATCGTGTTCTCCGTAATGGTGTCCAATGCCACAACCGAGTACTAAACCAGGGAACTGCAACCTCCGATGTAGTTCCTTGCTGTTTCTTATCAGTGAATAACCCTGAAGACATTCTGCGGCCCTGCGGAGTGCATCTGCAGGAGCTCAAGCATCCTCGAATAGTTGGCTATCTTGGCCATGATTATATTGTCCATGCCCCAGCCTTCGAGCGATGTGGGACCGTGCCGGTTGTGAAGTTCAGCGGAGGCCTGCGTGAATGCTGACCCTGTACAATTATGCATTATAAACTTTGGAACACATGCAGCTCTAAACACTTAGGGCTCACGGGTCAGAGTATTAGGCAACGCTGTTTGCTTGAATCCGCTCATCGTGTCACCCCCAACCTGTACTCGTACTGTGTAAATGCGAATGTCCCGGAGAAGTTCAGTAGCAGCCCGCCTGATAAAGTTGTCCGGGCCACATTTCAGGAAAGTCGTTGTAGGCTTCAAAACACACTTTCCGATTTAGGATTCTCGCGTAGATGGTATCCGCGAAGAGATACAGATGCGAGTTTGCGGTACACGGAGAAGCTTTGGTATATGCTACCCCTCGGGCGTGTTGCTTGTGCGGCCTGCGCCTTCCACTGGGATAGTGGGAGGCAAGTGCCCACGATTATGATTTCCCTTTTTCAGGCGTGTTGTTTTGTGTCGCCTGCACTTTTTCATAGGGGTAGTGGGAGGCAATGACCAAGGGTTTAGGTTTAGATGTCTTTTGTTCCGCCACATGTTTCTAGACCCCCCCCCCCATCCCTGCGGAAGGGACCACTGGCCCCTTCAACGAGGCAGAGAGTGGCAGAGCATACCAGAGCTGCAATCCCAATATGGGGTTGTATGTCGACGCTAACTGAGGGTTATGTCCTGGCACGACCACAATGCGAAATGTAGCTTCCATTTGGAAAACGGGAGCGTGGAATAGCCACATTCCGGGTCAAGCAAAGAGAACGGGGCTTCATGCACTCTTGTTTGATGCAGCTTCGCAAGAACATCCTTGCTCCGAAGCTTCATAATCACCAAATATCATACCTCCCTTCTTGAGTCCCTTAGGGTACGCTGACTTGGAATTCTGAACAGTATTCCTATCGGATCCTATTCCACTTCTATGCCAAAATGTTCGGGTTTCCAGGAGTGCCTAACTTTGAGAAACCCATACCTAAACCATGTGATCTCTGCATGCCTGGGGTCTCTGGGCGCCCTACCTTGACAAAGCTCATGTTTGAGCCCCTGCCACCCCAATAAGCTGTCTAAGGGCGATTCCCTTTACATCTACTTGGAGTTCATGGCAGGCAGCGACTGCTAGCCGCCCACGAACTTGAACATGGAATCCCAGGGTTTAGGGCATGATGTTTCTGGTGGGTGCCATCAATAGGCCAGTCCTTTTGAAAGATGGGATTACGTGAGATTCCATGTTAGTGCTTTTGATGTTTCTTCGGAGGATGGCATGCGCGTTCACTCAAGCTCTTGTGCTGTACCCAGATATGCTAGGAACCTCGTATTTGGTTACACTAGCTAACTTCCAGGGCAATTGAAGGCAAGATCCTTCAAGTTCGAGATGCATATTTTTGCGTTACAAGCAACTGTGAACACTCCTGTGAGTACGATTTGTACAACTAGCCGCTTCTCCGCCCATCTACTAGTAAGCAGTGTTGCCATGATTATAATCATCGTGAAGCCTGTTCATAGTACTGCTGATAACGGAACCCTGCGATACCCTAAGTCCGAGGTGTAGGGTGCCAAGACTTACAGCTTTCCAGGGTGCTGCAAGTTGCTTTTTCGATGATGGCTTTACAACCTTCTCGTTAGCATAATCATTGTTCTCATTCTTACTGCAAGTGCCTAAACTACCAGGTATCACGACTTCAAGTAATCCCCTCCCCATCCTCCCCCTAATTGAAATTAAAGCCTCCCTACCAGCAATGGCCAAATATTCTCTGTCAGAGCATCTATGTTTGGGTATGTGGTTGATACTGGGTGGAACCTTTTTTAATGTTAGGGGAAGGAGCTTGCAAATTACAAGTATTGGCGTGGTGATGACCGCTTCACAGCCCATCTAAGCAGGCGGCTCACTCGCACAAGCTTTGAGGCAGCTACGAGCCTAGCAAAAAGACCGGTGGAATGAAGCAGGGTGTATGGGGTGTAGGGCCTAGGGTTTGGTAGGTTAGTGTTTAGGTCATACCTACACTGTTCCTCTAAGTAGTTGTTGTAGGATTTGTGCGTGGAGTTGTATGCACATTATGGCATTATGGAGGCGTTTTCTTGGTATGTAGCTTCCGAGACTGGCCTGTACCTGGACCTCGAAACACAAGGTTCTGCAGCATGCTCAAATGAGATCGGCTTGCTACAGTACTGCAGTTGACACTTGAAGGCGCCTCTGAGTCCAAAAGCTGTAATCGAGCAGCTTCATTCTTTTGTTTTCTTGAAGATGGAGCTGCACCTCCTCGCCTGAACGCCTTGAAGCACTGAAGCTCCGAGCCGCTCCAACCTGACACCCTGAATCCCAACTTGTACCAGAAAAACCTGCTGAGTTGCATGCGTGGGTTCTGCTTGGAGCCTTAAAGTAGTCCCTGTACAATCCCAAACAGTAATCCCTAGAACCTTTTTTTTTTCTTTTCTTTTTCGTTCCCTACTCACACCTCTCAGTTTCCGCCAAGAACGGCGTAGACTGTTTGAGTTGGAGGCGGTAGGGTGGACGTGACTTTTCTTCAAGAATGTCCTTGCTTCTCTGTAATTGTACAACAATCCCCACTGGCGTTCTATTCCATCAAGTCCTCTGGACTCCAAACTGCAAACCCTGATCCCCAGCTCAAACCTGCAAGCCCAACACCAAGGTTTGGATGTTTCGAGGAGTCCTTGCTGCTGGCGGGGTGGGTAGACAGGGGGGGAGCTGGAGCTTTTCGTTCAGGATCCAAGGTTTGAAGCCAAGGTTTCAGAGAGGTAGTTGTAGATTTGAGGTTTAGGCTCTTGACGTCCTCATGATCCAGATCGTGTCAGTGGCATCAAGAAATTGTCAAGTGGAATCCATGTTTTGGGAGTGCAATTCTTTCACGAGGGTCTCACTTCCATCCGAGGTGCACTACCACTTCTCAGGAATTTCGATCAATATCTGATGAGACATTTCTCCTCCTCCATCAACGCTATGAGGGACAAGGAATGTGGAAAGCCAGAGAGTCTCAGACTTCCTGTTGCCTGGATTTTTGGGGGGAGCGGATGTGGCGTCAAGATAGAATTTTTGTTGATCACAGTGATGCCTGGCATTGCATTGCATGGACTGAGTTTCTGTGCACAGAGGGCGTTCGCGAATTGTCTTGGACCTCATGAAAGGCCTACACGCGGGAGATGCTGGAAGGGCCTTGACCTGAGTCCAAGGCAATGCCCAAACAAGGAAGCTTACCACAAGCCCCATATACACTGCACAGAACTTCAATCAAAGTCCTTGGATGCCTCCCCATACATTTCTTATGCGGAAGTTTCTCGAGCCCGCTCGTAGAGTGCTTGAGGAAAAACTCAGGGGCCTTTCACAATCCTTTTGCCATGCGTCAATGTCCCCAATGCCTACAAGGGCCCTATGTATGTGGAGAAAGATCAAGGTTAGCGCAGCACGAACTACTCACACGAACTGGTCCTCACCTCCTGCACGAGATTTCTGTTTCACAGAGGGATGAATCGGGTCTCTTAAAATCCTTTACACCGATGCGAATACAAAAGGAGCTGGTCCCAAGGCACGTGGATAACAGAGCACTTCAAGTCTTCAGCTAATTTGGACTGAGCCCTCCAAGCCTCGCAGGCCACAAATGGGGTTTCTCGAAGTAAGGGGCACTTGAAGATCCCAGGGGTATATAGAGATGGCAAAGTTTTATATGTACTGTTTCCCATTCACTCCTCTAGAAGGGTAAGTTGAGAACCTCCCATATAGTGAACTTGCTTTGGGTTCAGATTCGCCCAGGCTTCAGTACCTGCATACCAGAGAAACTCCGGTGGTGCACCGGGATATTAAAGGCAGCGCCGTGCTAGAGTCAGCTGGAGCTGGGAGCAGCAAGAACAATGAAAAAGGGAGAGACATCCAAGTAGTTGTTATGGGCGTTGTTATCATCCTCGTAGTGCTGCTACCAGTACTCGTATGGTTTCCCAAATTACAATAACCCTCTGAATTGGAGGGTCCTTTAGGCGGCCGTGATTGTCAGACTCCTACAGTAGGCTGTACGGTTTTGGTGTATAGGGCCATGGATTTTGGGTCCCCTATTGTTTTAAGCTACCAGGAGGGCTTCTTTGGATCCGTTGTTCCGTGTAATTAGACGTAATTCGATATAGCACCTACACTCTGGGGGGAGTATGAGTGAAGTGTTTGATTTTATGTTCGTGTGGGTTGATGCCTTCGGCACCTTGGTATGAGCGTACATTCACTGCCCATTTGCAAGTGCTACTTACTTCATCCGGCTTCAGGATTCTCAAGGAAGACCCTGAAAGTGACCAGCGCTTCCTTGTTGTAGACTCCCAGCAATCCAATCTATTGTATTCCTGGCAGTAGCCCTATGTAGAGCTTTGTGTGCATAGTTGGACGATATTCCCTTTGATGGCTGGCGGTGGCGGTGGCATCGTTGCTGGTGTCGGCGTGATTTCTGCCCCACTCAAAGAATTAAGAGCCCGTAAGCCACCAAAGTCCCACCCCCAAAATCCCAACCTCCAAGCCTGTAAAGCTCCAAGCTCAACTGCTCCAGCAAAGCCTGGAAAGGCGCCAATGTGCTGGTAGACTTGGACTGCCACGCCAAGCTCAGCGACTTTGGCTGCTCCAAGCGTTCCAATGACACCATGATATCCGGCTGCATAACAGATTTGGGGTTGTGGGGTAAGGGTTGTGGGCTTGGTTCAGGCTTCTTGTTTAGGGCTTAGAGTTCAGGTTGAAGGGATGTTTACGCGTCAGGGCTTAGAATCCGCACTGCAGAGATGTTTATGATGGGATTTTCAAGGTCCCTTCTCTGCCAAAGGAAATTGAGATGAAGGCAAAAGTTGCGTGTATCAGTGAACGACCCGTGTGGCCCTCATACAACCGCACTGTGTCATGAGTCAAACGGGAGGTTCGCCCGACGATGGATTTTGATTTTTTGGGAGTCCCTCTGATGAGTGCTATAGTATTTGAGTCACTGGCCGCGGGAGTCAATCAGTTCTGAGAAATCCACAATTTCTTTCCCCCGTCATCTGCGTGTTTACATATTCAGGCTCCAACCTTAGCTTGTTCCTGCAGGTCGCATACGATGCGAGGCTCCATACCATGGATGGCACCCGAGGCCTGTGCTGCCCGAGCTTATACAGTAAGATGGAATTGGCCTTGGGCTAATCGGCCGGTCCGATTTCATGATGGGAGGAGAGTCAACGGATGTCAGTGACTTGCCATGGGGCCTGCCGATTGCTCCCGCTAGACTAGGACTCGCCTCGTCTTTTGTTAATCTTAGCCTCAACCCGCGAAAGATAGATACTCAGCACCTAGTATCAAGGTCAGGAGTGCTCCATGTCCGAAAAGCCTGATTAAAAGAGCTATCCAAGCCCGAAACTAGATACGCGGATTCGGCAGGTCATCAAGAACACGGGGTACGGCCGAAAGGCCGACATCTGGAGCTTCGGATGTGTCTTGCGCTAAGCCTTAGATGCATCGCTCGGGTGTACAGGCTGGGCCCGAAAGACTTGGGAGGGCTTAGGGCTTGAGTGTTTCACTTCCATGGGCACAGTGTGCAGAATTATGCTTCTCTTATTACCGCAGCGTGGATACAAGGCTTGGGTTTTGCGCTTTGCAGGGTCACTCTGTGCATGCGGTGGCAAGGGATGATTACACCGCGGGCTTAAGGATGCAAGGTTTAGGCGGGCTGGTCGGTATCTACGTCATCATCAGCTTTCAGACGCAAAGTCCTGTCCGCTCTTTGGGATAACGTCTTTCCGCTTGGTACAACCCATGTTGCAGCGTATGTAGCACCATGTAGACGAGCTGTTATTTTGGACGGGTACGCTGGCGGCGGCGACTCCGAACCTGATAAGCATAACCGGATACCTTCGAGGAATCCCGGAAATCGTTTTATCTCCCAGGATCCTCAGACACCATGATTCGAAGGCGTTGTCAGGTTCAAGTCCCCATCAAACCCTTTGCCAGGTCCTTAGAGAACCATAAAATCTGCATATAAATCCAAACGACATAAGTAACTCCTTTTTCCAAATCCCCAACGCCTTCAATGTGCGATTGACTCATGTTTCTCCGTCACTCATGTGGATGGACAATACAACCCTTTATAGGAGAATTCAACCCCGTGCTCAAAACAGAAGGCCCACTAAGCAACACCCTAATTGAAAGCTGCTGGTGCTGACGGCTTCGTACAGAGGCTTACACAGGTCAAACAAAATCCAAAGGAAACCTTTGTGGAGTCTACAGCTTCCCGCTTCTGAGGTTGTGATTGAAATGGCCACGGCAAAAAGTCCATGGGGGTCCTTTGACAACCCCATGGTCCAGCCCGCAGTTTAGGGTTTAGGGATGTTGATCGCAGATAGGATTCTGGGTTGGGCTTTACGTAGGGTTTGGGGTTTGGGTTATATAGACTAGTTTGGGTTTGTGTATCAACGATTTCGGGCTTCGTGAAACCAGAGCATACCTCAGGGTCCGCGCAAGCTTCATCATGAGGAGTTCGCACTTTTAGATGGGTTGCTGAAGCCATTTACATGGGTCAGGCTATTGGATCTGTGGTAATCCAGGGATTCCAAATATGCAATAGTATTTCGTTTTCAATGCGCAGAAGACAAAAGACATTAAAGCCCTCATCCCCAGCCCCCACAGCGTTTAATCCTAACATTTGAGTCTGGGTCCACTGGATGGGGGGCATTTCCCACATGAAGTTCACGAAGCTCCAAGCATTTATGGAGAAACTCTTGCACCACTTGAGGCATGGGCCTAGGGGTTCGGATTTAGGATTCATGCAGAGTTTTTTCCGATTGGTTGGCAGCATGTAGGAGATGCAAGGTTTCCACCATCCACGGTGTCAGCAGTTTTGTTGGCTGCTAGTGAAGGATTTCAGCTCCTTTTTGGAAGCTGCCTGCCTGAACTCTAACATTTAAAGCCTCAACCTGGCGAGAAGATCCATCATAGCCTGATGGTATGCGAGACTGAAAAGATGCAACGCTTGTGCTCACAAGACCTGAGACCTGCTCGAGGCCGCCATGTGCAAAATTGCAATGTCAGATGCGACGTCCGCTGCTCACAGGGCAGCCCATGGAGCGTAGCGGGGCATGTTGGGCGGATTGCAGAGTTGATTTTCACTGAGGATTTCCCAGGGACTGCTCAGGTGTCCATGTGTTCAGTCCCAACTGGTCAACAGGGATTGTTAGCAAACTGTGAGGAATTTGGTGCCTTGCTTGCCCAAGGCCACCAATCCCAGAAGGAGTGTCTCCCGCATGCTACCAGCTCAGCCGGCGTGCAGAGGTCTAGATATGGTTTTCAGGAGTTTTAGGTCCCTTCTTGAGGTTTCCTGTTATGCGGGATAGTGAGTGGAATGCAAGGGTGGAAACAGAGGGGCTGCATGTGTGGGCATTTCTCAGGTGAGAGTTCCCCTGCATGCACCAACATCACCATCATATACTCCATATCAGCGAAACTCAAGCAAAATCAGCGAGGCCCGAGCAAGACAGTCCTCTCTTGAAGCTGTCATCTAGACCGCAGCTATGTTTGATGATTCTCAGAACAATTTCTGTTGCACCTCCTTTGAAAACAAAAACTACAGGACTTTGGAGAACGGAGCCTATGAGGAAAACAACATCACTGACGTATACAAGCCTTCAGGGGATCCCCATCATTCCTTGCAATCCCGCAAAAAATGCCACAGAGCCCAATACCCTGAATTGAGGAATACATCTCAAATCTCATGATGGTTCCTGGGCTTGGGGTTTCCTAAGTCTATAGCAGGGGATCCTCATTTGAAGAAACATCCTTGAATCCTAAGCCGAAACCCTGGCTCGAAAACCTCAATTCCAAACCCCCTTGAGGCCAGGACTTCATCGGCCTTTGCACCCGGAGAGATCCCGCTGACAGGCACCAACGATCTCCTGTACAAATTGACGCACATAGGGGTCATGATGTCAGCTTTCGGTTTGTGGCTTCGCAGGAATGTTCTAGGAATTTGTGTGGATTACCTTCCCCAAGCTCACGGGGAAGGATGCCAGGTGCTCCTGCGGCCCTTTTTTGGGGGGGGGATGTCATACCGTGAGTTTGGGGCAGTGTAACGGTGGAATTTGGGGACCATCTTGGGGTTTTGGGATTAAGGCTTAAGGCTTGATGATACAGGGCAGATCCAAGATGTTGCCAACTGCAGAGCCAGTATTCTCCCTCGTGGTCAGTATGGAGCCGCGTAATGGAGTATGGGGACTGTTGTAGGGGATTCTGTAGCGACTAGCAGCATCATTGACATTGTCGTCATTGCTGTCCTCATTCATTTATCTCGTCGACCGCTCTTTCACACGTCCTCCGACAGTCGTATGGCTCTCCCGAAGCCCCTATGTAATGCGTCAGAGAGACCTACATTCGCCGGTGTATAACGCACATGTAACCCAGGATCCTCAGGGGTCCTATTTTGTATTACACCTCCCTTCCCCCGAAGAAACCAAGAGCCTGTTCTATGGCAACTTTGCACAAGACGCCCATGGGGTTCCAAGTTATGTTTCGGGGTTTAAGCACCAGAGCCCCACAGTAATTGGAGTCCCTCCGCCGTTCCCTAAACCATCAACCCCATGTCACCCCGGCAATTCTTACGAGCACGTGTGCATCACACTTTTTTTTTGGACTGCGGCAGGCCAGATGCCACCACGCTGCTGGCGCACGAAGTGCTTCGCAACGTATGCACTGAAGACGACTGAAGGGCCAAAGGCAGCCGCGGAAGTCGTTTTCAGGCAGCAGGTGTCCTTTGTGGGAGCTTCTCAAAACAGATCTTCCCTATCCTTAAGAGGTCATCCTGGGCCCCAGCTTTTTGCCCCCCGGGGTCCTTACGGCACCCCTTCTTTTGAGAAAGCCTGCCATCCCGCGCAAGCTCCAGCCTCTCGCATATAGGATTTGTAGAACTATAGGGGCTAGGGTATTTAGGTTTAAGGGATAGAAAGGACACCTTTGTCTGCATCACATCTCACCAACCTGCAGAGCCAGGATGAGACAAATCATGCCTCCAAAACTACCTGTGTTTATGGTAGAATAATCACCATACCACGCCCTATCTGCTCCCACAGGTCAGGCCACAGTCAAGCATTCCTCGGTTATACCCTCTGGAGTCCTTTTTACATGCTGTAGCCTTCATGACTACATGAGTGCTTCGCAGAATAGTTGCAGTACCTACAGGAGGACTGCACCTGCAGTCATCTTGGTCCCACTCGCCAGATTTAAAGTGATGAAGCAAGCAACTGTTGTCTGTTCAGCAGACATCACTGAGGGTTTTGCCGCCCTACTGTACTGCCTTCCCCTAATTTGAGTGGATGACGTGTGCACGTGCGTCTTATTGTGTAATTTGTGTACACCGTCTGTTCCTCCACTAGGAAAGTCCCCACATGCAATGTCGCCCCCCCAATCTGAGGGTGCGTGTTAAGGAGAACACCCATAAGCCACCAATGTTTTTGTTGAAGCTTGCAACTCTAGACTCTAGATCTTGTGCCATCCACATATACTATAGTGCCAAGTTACATCTCGCCACAGCCCTCAAAATGGGACACATAGTTTGGAAAGTAACTCTTGGGTGCTTAGTGGGGAATTGATTATGCCAGCTACGTCGGGGATAGTGGTCAGAGGCCTGTTTCGAAACGGGTTTGTCAGCACGTTGTGAAGTGCCTCGCATAATTCAAAATATCACGAACAGATATTGAGTCCCCAGCGGTAACATCCCAAAATGCTGTACATTTGTGTGCTAGGGAAGTAGCGGACTGAGCGATGAATCCACTGGGCACTGACGTTTGCTTGTTTGATTGTGCTCTGGCAGGGAGGTCTGGTGCAATTATGTGATTTTCAGGCCAGGCATTAGGCGGCAGGGTATCTGGTCGTAATCATCCCGTGCCATGATCAGCTTCATGATCACAGCTTAGGCCCAGGCGTTGCTGCCCAACTCATAGCCTGATCACCCAAGAGTCCAGGCGATTTTCGTACAAGACAAACGCAACGGCGTGGAACTCACTGTGACTGTCCGTCTTTTGCTCAAAGCAGCCATGTGATGGTAGCACAGCTCGGCAATCTTATTTCATGCCTAGCAAATGCCAGCAGTGCCGCGCATGGTGTGCACGGACCGCAGACCATATGCAGACCGGCAAAACTGTCGCCCCCGGTTTGTCAAGGCAAAAAGATACTGGACAAGACCCCCGAACTGAGAAGCTCAACATTAGTCATCTCTCTTGAAGCCGCTGATAGGGCGATGAGCTGCACCGAGCTGTTGTCAGATCAGGCGCAGGGGCTTCTCAAATTGAAGCAAAATGTTGAGGTTTACAATGCCATGTGCAAACAGTGATGGCAAGAAGAGGTTTGCTGCCCCAAGCACATGAGGCCTTCCCGGGAGTCGGACATGGCAGACCTAGAGGACCGTGTCCAGGTTCGCTTCTGTTTAGTGGTTTCATGTTTTTGTTGGTGGTTGGCTTTTGCAGCGGAATGCGGAAAGTAATAGCGTTAGCTTCGTTAAGTATCCAAATTGTGTTCAGCCTTGATCTGAGAAATCCGGTTCCACGAAAGTGCTAGCTTTTTGCGGTGCAGACTGCTGTATCATGTGTTTGATGCCAGTCGTTTGTCGGAGTCCTTCTGAGCTGGGACACGCATGAGTTCATTCAAGCAGCTGCCTTTGGGCTGAAGAACCATACGCGACATGAGAGGCTGGTGATCTCTTGTGTTGTGTTGGTGCTATCCGCAGTCTCACATGGCAAGGACATCGACAACTTGGACGGCTCGCCCAAGGCTGAGTACGTGGCCTGGGCCTTAGGCCTTAGGCTGTTTGTACCTCTCAAGACACGGTTGCTAGCTTCGCAGATCTTCAATTCTGAGGACATGGCCGCCAGACATCCCTGGCAAGACCTAGAGCTCAGCTACGTGAAAAGCAGCGCTCCAAGCGAAGCTCATATCCACGGAATCGGTCTCAGGGTTACTGCTACTGGCCGAGAATGAAGCTCATGCTTGAGCTGCAGTCCGCACCTAATCCCAGTGTAATCCCCAGATATCAACCACAGAGTCATTTGCACTGATCTTGCTGAGATGCCGCTGCTCCTTCAAATGGAAACTCGGTCAGGCTCGGCAACAAATCCTGTCTGCAGGGTTGTTCGATTGATTACTTTGGCGTCGTTCCACAATTCGTCTCAGGTCAGGTCAGAGGTTAGGAAGCTTCCTCGACGTGGGTACAGTAGGCGCCAATGTCACGTTTCCCAAGCCACAACATTTCTGATTCCTGAAGCCGAAAGAGGGACCTACAACGCAGGGTGCCGCTGGTGGAGTCGCAGCCAGAGGAGGCAGGATAGGATAGTGATAGTCTCCAATTTTCTTTGATGGCAGCAAATGCCCCAAAGTGTTGCCTTGAAACTCCGGGCCGTTTCTCCAAACACTGTTTCGATCAAGCTTTTTGGCAGGAAGTCATCGACCTCAGTCATACATGCTACAATCTGATCTTCGTCAGCGGGAGGCGTGGGAAAGGAAGGGGGACGGGGATTTTTTGAAGAAGAGCCGCATAATGTGAATTGATTGTATGGAAGGTGTTTCTAGGGATCCAAGATTCCCAAATGGCAGACATGGAACTCCAACAGCGGCACGGGCCGTGTAGGACTGCTGTCATTGTTGTGAGAATCGCATTGGCTTTATGAAGATGACCCTGAATTCGCCTAAGCCCTGCATGGATGTTTCGTTCAGGGCGAGTGTTCTTGCTCCAATGCTCGCTGTTGCTGCTTCTTGGCGGAAGCCATGCAGGCGTTTGGGGATTGTTGTTCGGAGTGTCCTGGGAAAAGGCACAGCAACAAAAGAACCACACGATGTCGCTGACAGGCAGCCAGGCTTTGTTTGCTGAAAAGGCAGCAGCCGTTGCTATAGCGAGCAGAAGAATGGCAGCAGCATGCAGCAGCAACAGTAGTGACTCAGCAGTGGCATTTGCCAGCGTCAGCATGATGGCCAGGACCGCGTCTACCATCGTCTTCTTTAGTGTAGAATTCGAAGCGCCAGCATTTGTCGCCGCCTTTCGCTTTAAAGAAAGCACATCGAAAAAGCAACAGCTGTACAGGGAATCAGGGGATAGAATCACCAGCAGATACTATAGTGGTAAGACCTCCTACAGAAGAAATCTGTAGACGTACCTGTATGACACAGAGCCAAGGTTGGGCAGTTTGGCATGCTCTGGATCGTGGGCTGGACATCCCCAGAGTGCGCCTGGCACAGATGGGCACAGCACCTAAATCCCTCGCGCATTTCGAATTCCAGAGATTTCAGAAGCAGTATCTCAATTCTTCTTCATAGTACTCATGTTGTTGATCCCTCTTTCTTTTTCCTAGGGCTTCCAGGAGTCCTTCTAAGGATCGAGTTCTCAATCACTTCCCCCAGGAGGATGAGACGTGCTTTGTCATGTAGGCAAAGTGGCCTTCTTTGTGAGTCGCCCTTTTCGCAACTCTCTTCCTCCATAGTTGTTCCTCCTGCGGAATTCCCTATCTTGTTATGATCCTGAGCTCTAGACCCCGGGGTCCAATGTAGAAGCATGAAAAATCAGCAGCCAGTTTCTCTTGAGAGTCCTTGCGTTGTAGAAATTCACACCACTAGGCTTATTTTCATTATCTAGGCCCGTACATTGTAAGCTATGATCTCCGCAGGTACTTCTTCGAGAGTGGCCAGTGGGTGGTTCCCATATCAGACTACTGGCCGAACGCCAAGTTGGATGCCAACTAGTCAGGTTTCAGATTGGGGTTTAGGCAAATACTGAGTTTGAAGCCGAAGCATATCACAGTCTAGCCTAGGTGCTAGTTTGCTAGTCATCAGCGATCCACGAAGCGCTGGAGGTGGCAAGCAAACATGTCCATTGCCTGGGATCTTGAGCACTACCTTGAGGTCTGTCAACGCAATGAAGTGCTTGTGCTTGCCTCAGGATATTCTTCCCATGCAAATCAAGGCGGTCTCAAACACAGCTGACAGGTCCATGCTCCTCACCCTCTTCAGAGTCAGTGGAGAGTTTAAGGCGGGCTAGGAGGCTTTCAGATGCGCAGATGACTTTGAAATGCCCGTCGTGCTAGCCTGTGGTGTCCCCTGCAATCTTACAAGCTGCTGTGCGGCCAATGTCTCTAGTTGCGGCAGCGAAGTTTTGGCCTGCATATATGATACCAAACAGGGGCAACGTTTATGCGCACACGTGTGTCTAAGCTTCAAAGATGTTCAAAGTATGTGCTACTCCTATTGGGCCCTTGACCTTCAGGTCCTCATATGGCTAATATATTCCCTTCACGTACTCCTATGGACCCATAGCTCCAACCTACCTAGACCTCAGGCCTCAGTCACTAATATACCGAGCACACACCATTTCCAGCCCGTGCCAGCATGCCGCCAACCTACCCTGACCCTAAGCCTGAGATGATGCGCCTTTCTTGTTCTCTTCCATTCGAACCTGAGAAGCGCCAGGATGCTGCAAAGCTCTACCGCGTCCTCTCGCACCGGCCGCCAGTCGGGAGCCGAGATAAAATGGGCCGTCTTGAGTGTGTGCCCATAAATCTTACCCAACAATACTCAAAACTTATGAACCTTGCCATGGTCTACAGGGCTAGATAGGGTTTAGGGACCCAGGGATACACAGGGGTTAGGTTTCTGGGTTGTAGGGAAACACATGGTTTCGGTTCCAAACCCTCGGTGTGCCCTTGAGGGCTTCTCATGCTTGGTTTGGAATGGGGGTATGTTTGGGGCTTCCGAGTTTTTGAGAAAAGCCCAGTTCAGCTCGGTTGTCTAACCAGGCCATTCTGATGTGTGCTGAAGAACGGAGAGGTTCAGACTCTAAATCTTAAGTCCCCAAGCCTCTAATCTTGCATCTCACCCCGAAGCGCCAAACCCTGAATCCCGCAAGCCATAGATGCTTCCGACGAGTACCGAATGGCAAGGTCCAAATGACCATGCAACAGCGAATACTTGGCTTCGGAGCCTTCCTGTTGCAGTACGTCGTGGCCGTGGTGCGGGCCTTGGAGCTGGGAACGTTTAGGGTCGGATGCTCTGTTTTCGTGTCCCTATGGCTACTTGCAGGATTTTATTCCATGTTTGTTGTTGGCCCCTGTGGAAAGGTGAATCCCCGAAATCTTCTGTCAGTAGATGATCAGTTTGGATAAGGCCTACAGGATTCATGTCGATGCGCTGGGCAGCTTCCCACTGATAGCGGGAGGCAGTTTGGACGACAAAGGCGACAAAGTCTGAGCCTCCCGCTGTGATAGTGGGGGCGAGGGCTGGCGACGACAGCGCTTGTGGAGGCTTTTGAAGATTGTTTGCGGCTTAGGCCCAAAGAATTTTTTGTCAGTTCTCCGGACACGTCAAAGCCCCATGAACCTTCAAAATCGGTGGCTCCTAAGACCCTATCCCCTTTGATAACTTTGATATGCATGCTTCCGGTCCCGGGGATGCTACCCCCCAAAACGTAGTAGAAACAAGGACTCTCAGGAGTAGGACTATGACCCACCAATTTTCAGCTCCTCATTCGTTTTCTAACACTTTCCAACATTTGTGTCATTTTGCATATCCACCTCATGAATTATTTTTTCTAGGGCTTCGTTCTGCACCTTAGCCATTTTTTGAAATCTGTAAATTCTCAAAGCTTACGTTTTGCAAAGATTGCAATACGCCAGAAATTGGCAGTGTTTGTATTGCTTACCTGATGTTGTTCTACCGCATTCATGTTGCTTTCTTCTTACCTTATTCGTTTGTTCTTTCATTCCGCGACTAAGGATTAGCTCTGCTCATTCGTTTTCTAGATCGTAAAACATTGAATTTGTTCAATTGATAATTCTCGTGTCTTATTCATTGTTTTTATGTGGCTTCGGGTCTCACATCATGCGTATTGAAATCCTGAAGTCTTTTTACTGTCGTTGTTCGTTTGTTGTTTCAAGTGTTGGAGCCTTGATGTTTCCAACCAATAATATGAAATCTTGGTTCATTTGACATTTCCATTCGTTGCGCTTCTTTGTATTAACATGTCTGTTTACATCGCATGAACCAATATTGCATTTACACACGAAACAATATTCCGTCATTGCTTTGAGATCTTTCACTCTCCTAATTTGTTCTTCTCGGTGATTTTGATAAGATTCCTTTTTATACTCGCTCATTTTTTTTGGATATCTCTCTCTCTCTCTATCCCTCCATTGCGCATCCAAACAAACATTACGTTGCTTTCTCCCTTCTTTGTTAACAAGCATGCTACTCTGCTTGCACCTTGCACATTGCATTATTTCATCTCCGTATATGCACCAGGGGTTTTATCTTTGAATGAAGAACAAAGGGGTTGGGTTATTATCTTGACAAATGTGAATATTTAGAATTCTAAAGGCTGAAGCAGCCTTGAAATGTCTCTCTTAGATGCTGTGATGAGACACAAACCTCAGTAACTCCCACAAACAAAAACTATGGTAAAACCAACGCAAAACAGCCCAACGCCCAAGAAAAGCACTTACAGATAAGCCAACCTTATAATATCATATGAGGAGCCTCCGGCAAGGGAACTATCAAGTTTTGCTTTACACAGCGACATCGCCGTAACTTTTGACTACATACGCCATCCACGACAGAAGAACAGAGCGCCCTCAGCAGATGTGCTAATTCCTGTGCCATTTCTAACATAAACCTTATGGGTTATAAGGGTCTTTCTTTTCTTAGGTATCAAGAACCCTTATTAAAAGAGTTGCTACAAAGAGCCAAGAATCTGAGAAGTTTAAAATGCCAAGCAGAATACATACAGTTCTTAGTGAATAACAATTTAAGAAAGCCATTGATGAAAACGATCTTGGTATTGAGGCTATAAAGGAAATCTTACAATTAAGAAAGTCAGGCTACAAGATTAAGAGGATAGACAAGAATCATATTCATTATGACAAATACAAGCCAACACGGGGGAGGCAAATACATGGAACTACCTACATTGGTTGCTTTGAAAAGGCGTGTATCAATATCGAAAATGATGATGAATAGTGTTTCAAGCATTGTGCTCAAACCTAAGCCTCATGATATTTATGCAAAAGACTACCCAGATACAATGTATCATTATCATAAGTTGAAAAAACGATAATCCAATAACTTGGGAGGGTATGCATTTCCCAACTTCTAATGATGATATAGATAATTTTGAAGAGATTAATCATAACAGCATTTCAAGTAATGTTTATAGGATGAACCCCGATGAGAGTAAGATAATAGCCCCTAGAACAACAAGAATTCAAAAACGTCCTGTCATATTAACCTCCTTCTTATTGAACAGATTAAAGATGACTGTAAATGACTATGCACTAATCAAGGATTATTGCCGATTAGTGAGCAGTCAAACAAACGAGGATAAAAGGACATATTTCCAATGTGCTACTTCACAGTCATTTACTAAAAGGTTATATGAAAAATGAAATTCAAAATACAGAAATGCCAGACCCCAACAAAAGATGCAGCTCAAACACCATTATAGGAAACTGAAGTGTCGTTATGATGTTTCTGGTGCTTTTGAGTGTTTAACGGCGGGGTATTTTTCAACTTGCACAAATCATATTGAGGTCAGAAACGAGGTCACTCCAGAATTAAAGCAATGACAAGGTAAAGGAATTAGCAGTTTCGGGTTGCAAAAGTCTATCCCATAACAGCCGTAGCAACTACTCCGGGTTTTGGAGGGGGTCGTGGCCGCTGAAGCTTGTGTGCGACTTTATCATTTTTTGAGTCCGCAAAGAGGCGCATGGGGCTTTGCCGCTGAATTCGTGCGAATTCACTGCTAAATCGCTGGAAGCTGAATTAGGTGGATGGGGAGAGTGTGGTGGGCTGTGTTGGAGGCCTTGATGAGATTCGCGCGAATTTGACGCAAATTTTCTGGAATCTGAATTTGGCGGATGGGGAGATTGGGGGGGAAGATGGTACAATGGATAAGATGCTGGACTCGTACTCCCTCCGATTGCATTTCAATTCCTGGAGGTCTTATTTTCAGGCGTGGCGTAATCGCGCTTCGTATCCCTTTGTTTAAGGAGGGAAGGTGCTGAATTGGACGCATTTTGACGCGAATTCGCCCGAATCTCGAAGGCTTGGAGGGCCCACCTGAATGCCTGCAAAGTCGTCCAACTTGCCTAAATCCAGAATGTTTCCAAGTCAATCCAGGTCCTCAGGATGCTACTCAATTTTTGCTTTTTTCCTAATGCCAACCACAAATTACCTTTCATACTATATATGTGGAGAAGTAGCCCCAATCCCCGCAATGCTGGGCGGGTCCCTTCCCATAAGCCAAATCCAATCCCTCACCCCTAGCTTGACGAGGTAACCAAAAAAGGAAATTAGCGCACGAGGTAATGCATGAAATTCCTGAGATTTAAGTGACGAGGTCAGTGGTTTGAAATTCATGAAATTATTCTAATTTGTTCGGAGCCCGTACAATCCATGTGGAGGTTCTGCTCGTATTCTGAATTAATTACTTCTCCAAATTGAGATTGGTAACTTTGCGCTGCCCTTCAGCGATGTGTTCAGCAGGTTGTGCTGCTGATGGCGATCCAGCTCATACTTGCCAGCACGCAGAAGCCTTGGATTGTACACTGGTCCCTTGCGGTCACGATCATACAGATCCTGCTCGTATTATTTTGGGAACCTTTTTCTGTGGAAGTACTTGTATATGAGGATTGTAGTCTTTCTAGAGCCCCTTGCGTGGTTCCGCTTAGTTGGTGGATTTGATGGATTGCAGGTGGCGTTTGGGATTGTTTGGGCGTTCCAGCGTAGGAGGGGTCTGTTTCTGGATGTAGTCTCATCAAGATCCCCATGTAGGGGGCGCATGCCCTTTGAGGGCTAGCATTCTTAAGCACAGTTATTGTTGGACAGCCATCGCTATTTATTTTATCGGGGACTCGAATAGTCATGCGGTCACGGCTGTACCTCAGCTTCGGGTATGTAACGGGCTTGCTTAACAGGTGGTTGCGAGAAGACTTGCACACACAAGCAGCTCCGGATTTCAATGACCTACGCCTTCATGCCGGTGGGTTATTCCTGTTTATCCTATCTCCGGAGCTACTTTTTGAATACGCTCCGTCATGTCTCCTGCTTTGACAACCCGCGCAACCCAACCCTGAGTCCTAGTTGCGGCCAAGGACACCTATAGCTACGATTGGTAAGCTGCGCGGTGCTCAGAATGGACTAGTGACTAGTGATGCGGTGCCTCTAGGAATTGTGCGGGGTTAGGGTTAGTCAACCTCTCTATTCCTGGAGCAAGTACTTTATCGGTATCACTTCCCCTAGCAAATGCCTTTGAATTTGAGTTTCATTCATTATACAAATATAGAAGCATTCATGAATGTTTCACGAACAGCCGTATCCCAGGTGTTCTGTCGACACATTTGGAACGGCCGCCTTGCCTTGAAGAAGCGAGCAGAAACGAGCAGGATTGGCAGTCACACAGCACCGACAGTACCAATGACGATGATGACAAGAACATAAGCAACGCAAAAGTAGCAGCAAGAGTAACAGTAATCATGTTGCTTATGGTGATACAGTCCGCGAGGGACGCTGGCAGCATTGAAGTCCTGACATCCCAGACGCTCGCGGTGGCAGACATACTGAGACCGGCTATCAAATTACCCAATGCGGTAGGGCAGGGAGCAACATGTTGTTGCTGCGAATACTGCTTCTCGCGAAGCCAACAAACTGAAGTAAAATGTACAGATGCCAACCAATATCGAATAGGCACGCATTCAAATAATTAACCAATCTTATGGAGCTTGGCTTCAAAATCACGTTTCGCCCTCAAGAGTTCGACAGGTCATTCCGTAATCCTTCTAAACAAATCCCTGTAGTTCTTTTTGCGCGCAGCTCAGGTGGGTGGTTTTCACGACTCTGGACTTTGACAATTACCTTTGCAACTTTATCCTCTTCATCTTCGACTGCGAGCATGCCTTCACTTGGGAGGCAGATGGGTCATTTCAGACGGCCTGGCTGCAGGGTGTGGAGTTGAATCTTCGGCGCCGCAGGCTTTACTTGATCCTAACTTTCTCAGGTTTTGGTTCAGAACCATCTCAGATCTCAGTTCCGCCCACCGCTACAGACACTACTTTCCCGTGTTGCACAACCCTAAATCCCTGAACCCCAAACCCAAACTCCATTCAGTTTCCATGTCGTCTCCATGTTTTTTTCCATGTGATTCTCCCATTGGTGGGGGGGGGGGGCTGTGGCTGCAAAGTCACCCTGCCAGGGCAGGAGGAGGGATTATGTAGGGGTTATAGGTGCAATAGGGACATACGAGGGTTTACGGACAAGAGCAACACGGAAACTACTATTTAGGGTTCGGGATTTAGAGTTTATGTATGCAGTCGTGCGGACAATCCTGAAGCAACCACTGGATTCAACATAATTAAGCCGTTGACCTCGCTGCCTCTGGTGACGCTTGGCAGCATAGACAACTTCATTCGGGCACCCAAAGTCAAGCCTTGTCGGCATTTCATTGCATAGACTACACCTTCCGCGAAGGCCTCACGCGAACTCCGGGTTAGGGATACTGTAGATCCCAACAATGAAGTGCGTGAAGACCAACACACCCAGAATCTAGCTGACGGCAATTGAACCTTTCGAGTCCTCAGAGCTCCAAACAACGCCTACTGACTACCATCAGGGAGAATGTAGGGATTGTAGGAGTCTCTCTTCGCAAGACAAGTTTCTTGCCTGTAATCCGTTCAGCTCCGAAGGTTCCTAGATCTATCTGGAAAAGACCAAGGCCTGAGATATCAAATTAAGCCCTAATACCCTTAGCTGGGTTCTTGGTTGGAGAAACCCCGCTCAACTTCCAGAACTCCATACCCCTGACCGCGGTACCATTGCATGTGCCTTAATTGAGAACCTCGGTTGACCCAGCACATCCTCAGTCCTACTATAGCTGGTTTTGGTTGCCTCTGAACCTCACAAACCCTACAGTCGAAGCCATGAACAGCGCGAAGCCCTACAACTCCCAAACGCTTCAAGCCCCGCACCGTAAAGCTTGCAAGAAGCTGCAGGCAAAGCTCCAGCGCCGATCGGCGCGGCGGCTTGGCCCGCAACCTTTCAGGCCCAGTGCAGCTGGGTTTAAGATTGCAAAAGGGCTGTGGTCTAAGCGGGCTTATGGTGTAGAGCTTGGAGCGATTATACTTAGGTTTGGTTTCGGGCCGTGCCATCTAAAGTCCCATATTATCGACATAACCCGACTAAGCCTGACACTCTGAGAAGAAGAACGTGATGACATAAGGGGCCTCACAAACATTCAGAGCCATGTTTTCTACGAAGCCGCACGTCTCAAACATTTCTAGCAACTCAATCAACGCAGTTATTAGAAAGAGGTCTACAGGGAGGGTAGCAGTAGTAGCCCAACTGTTTTCTTGGATGATGCGAGGTCTGCAAGAAATTGCCAACGATTGACATGCTTAGATTCTCACACTGCGTGCCGCACAGGACTTGGCTTCTCATTTACTGGGCTCCGGTGGGTGTCGCGCTTGCTTGTGCGGCAAACCCAGAAAGCCAGTGCCGCCTTCGATGAAAATATGTCTTACGCTGGGGAGCTAAAAGCCCAGGGGAATGTGCAAGTTCAATAATTGGTACGTATTTGCAGATCGAGAACCGCAACTCCTGAGCGTTCACTCCAGAAAGAGAGGTAGAAGACCACCCCCCCGCGTTGCTGTAGGTGAGTCGAGGCATCAGCTTGCTGGTGTGGTTTGAGAGAATACGGGCGATGTCTCAGCATTCTTGGCATTCCAGCTCATCATGTCGCAATCTTGCCCAAGGTCTGCGTGTCGGTGTATTTCAACATTTGCCCTCTCACAGCGGTGCACTATGGAGCCGTGAGGCGTGCGTAGTTCCTGGTAGGAGCGGGATATGTCGCATGCGCAGGAGATGTGTGCAGAAGCCGTCATGGCTGCTTCTTTCAGTCGTACTAGCCTCATCCAGAGAAAGGCATAGACCGCAATTCATACGCCGGGGCTCAGGGTTCTGCCGGACTCTACACTTGTGTTGTAGCCGCCAGTGGTTTTAAGCGTGGACCACTGCAGGAACAAAGAACCGGTGCTCATGCTCACCGCCAACATGGGCTTGCCCCAGAGCTGCTGTGCGCCTCAGGCGTGGTCCATCATCGTCACGTGATCGGAATTTCTGAAATCAGGAATTGCCAAAAGAGCGTGCTCACGTTCTTGTGCCCCTGCAAACAAAAGCCCTTTTGTTGAGCAACATCTTTTGGACTTGTTGGCTTTTTGGAAGCTACCCCGACATGTTGGCAATCCTAGGCATCGAGCCATAGCCAACAAGTTAGAAATGGAAAAGCAGAGTTGCCGGTCTGAGCACAGAGATCTGAGGGTAGTTGTCAATCCTAAAATTCGGGATTGGCATATTTTTCACTCTCCAAGGTGCCAAGGATCCAGCATTCGGAAGCCTAGGAGCGCATCAAATGGACCCTCACTTTTGAGAAGCTGCTGCGCAATCGCTACTACACCCCCAAAAGGGGCCCATGCTTTTGGACAACATTCTTATAGAATCGCAGCGCAGCTTTGGTCTCCCCTCGAACCAGTCAGTACACCTTCTAAGCCTTCCCCCACATCATCCTTCTGTAACCCTAGAGACTGCATACGCCTCGAAGACCTTTAGATAGGATCCCCTGGATTAGCTTCATCCCCTGACGGGCATCTTATAACGTAAATCGTAGGATCAGTGTTGTGTTTCTGTGCATGCTGTGCGGCCCCTTCAAACTCGAAGCTCGAAAGCACGCAAGATTCTTCTCTCTAAATCTCACAGTTTAGTCTGTGAGCCGTATATCTATCTTGAAGTCTACATCCCAAACACCTCAAACCTCTGAAACATGGAAGGTTCTTGTTCCAGAGTCCGATTCCTTGGACCAGTCTTCTCGTGTCCAAGTCAGCTTCCTCCTCAGCGTCTTTCTAGAAGTTCTCAGGCAAACCAGTGGGGTGTAAACTGTAGGAAACGCTCCAACATTTTGGAATTGCAGTGCTTGAGGCATCCGAAGTGATGCAAGATTCCCCTCCAACAGTACGTGGGTGTCCTTTTCCGGATCGCACAAGTATGATTTTTGCCCAGCTGCTTGGTCTTTATGGGACGTGGACCCGGGATATGGGGGGCCTAAAGTGCTAGAGAGCCCGCTGTAAGAGCCACAGGCTGCATTGAGAGTACACCTGTACTTTTCAAAGTGAACGCTGGGCTCTGAGGGGATTTGAAAAACCAGGACATTCTGCCACCTCAAAATCTGCAATTTGATAGGGTGTGAAATTCACCTTTGAAACTTGATAGTAGGGGTGTGAGGCTAGTACCGTGATCGCTGGTACTGTTATGACTGCTATGACAATTCCTAAGCGCATAACCACTACTAAAGCCCTAGGCCGAAAACCCAAACCCAAAGCCAAAGCCCAACCCTAGACTCTACAGAAGCCCTGCAGCTCAAGCCAGCAAATCTAAACGCTAATCCTAAGTCCTAAGCCTTAATTCCTTTCGGGACGAGCGGTTTAGTTTGACTGAAGGTGTGCCCTGTGTGAGCCAGGGTGAAGTTGGTACAGGCGCGGCCTGTTGAACAGACGCGGTTGGGTGTGTAGGAGAGGTTGGGGGTTTGATGAAGAGACTTTAGGATGTATTCTTGGGCGAATTATGGAAGGAGCATACTCCTACGACGATGCAAGTCTACAGTGTTAAATGGTGCGTACATGCGCAAGCAGGCACACACATATGAGCCATACATACATCTACATAAACTCGCATGCATACACACACACACACACATCGGAGTTATTCGGAGTTCCAGTACATGGGAGTTGTCAACAGCATCAGAGTTCCGTAAAGACATTCCCGTAATCATGAACACTCCCCTTGTTACAGAGCTTGGGATAATTATTCTTAGGCGGGGTGAGGGTTGACTGTTCGGGGGAGGAGATCACCAGAATTCTACATGGACCCTGAAGGAATCTGATCTTGATAATCGTGTAGACTCCTGCAAGTCCTCAAACACTATTAGGCCAAACAACCTCCTTGTTGTCCCTCATCCTTAAAACTAATCCCTGAACCCTGAATTCTACCATGCTTCTGATTATGAATGCTCTGTGGTTGGAAGGAGGGCGACGCCCGCCACACGTGTACTACGCAGGGATCTTGGAGTGTAGGGGCGCCACAGCTACAGGAACATAGGATTTGTGGTTGCGGTGGCATAGACCTGAAGCGATTTGCCATTTCTTTGCTGATGTTATTGCATGTAGGAACAGGGCAAAAGGTGTGTGTTTATCAGAGTGTGCTTTTTTGAAGCGTAAGCTGTGGCATCCATAACTTGTGAAGTGAGCGCCTACACATCATAGATCAGGACGCTTTCCAGAAGCAGGTCACCTTGTGAGGTTATCCTCCAGCAACACAACCACTGCTCTTCGATCGATCAAAGTCCAGAAAGTCTTCTCGCCCAAACCTCGAAACCTGGAACCCAGAACTTAAAACCCGAGCAAAGCTCTGCATCTTTAGTTCTGGAGTCTTTCAGGTTGTTGTGCCGGACGGGCGGCCAAGTCCCTCCAGCCTCCAGGCTTTTCAACCGACACCATCAACTGTCAACTGCGGGTTTCTCAACATCATGTGTGGCTTCTTGAGGCATATGGATGCATAGCGGTATGGTGACGGACAGCGGGACTGATGTTTGTTGAATTCTGCAGGTACATCCAGACGGTTTCAAGTCTTGAGTTGAATCTTTCCGAGGATTAGTCGCCTGAAGAGTCAGTCTGGCAGGTCATGGAAGGACGTGGCGGCGACGGTAACCGCGGACTTCGATATGGTGCTGGGGGGGGGGGGTGTCCTAGATTTATCGTTTTGTGATGGAGTGGGAGTGCCCCAAAAAAGTCGTACCAATTGTGGTTGAAGCGGGGTTTGAAGCGGAGGCCTATGCAGATGTGTTTATGTTTTTGTCTGGATCATGACTTTCGACATGTCAGGCCTGGTGAAGGCAACACCGCTGCAGATGCCATGGGGCTCAGCTTTTGGGTTTCCAGATTATCAAGTTTAGGTAGCTGAGCTCGGCCAGGATGCTACGGATCGCAGGAGTAGATGGGATGTCAGTCGCAAGAGCATGCTTGCATTGTGTGCCCAGACTGTATCTTGCTTGAACTTGCCATCTAAAAGGCTGCGTAGCAGAACACCCAAGCCGTTCTAAGGTGCAAGTTAAAAGACTCTGCTTCAAGGCGATGGTGGCTGACCAGCCACGGATTTGCTCCCGCTGTTTACGAGGCCTGGAGCACCCAACAGGATTAGCAGTTCGACTCTCACACAGTGTCTATGCATTGGTGTGGAAATGGCCCAGCACACTGTTCTCCGCTCAAGCTCACCCAGAAGGCAATGTTTTTAAACAGAACCGACAATTGTTCACGAGGGTCGAGACCTCAGGATGATGTACTCTGGCTTATCCTCCAGCTTGCACTGTAATCTGTAAAAGGCGCAGTTTACTTGTCCGAGGACATCAAGCCGTGAGACATTTCATTCTATGCGTTTAGCAGTCAACGAGGGAACGGAGAGCGGCGGGAGTTGTTTCTTCAAGGGATTGTATGAGTATCAATGTCCTTCATCCCTTGGCCTTGTCCATCCTTATCCTTATCCAACCACCCTTCATGAACTCTACACCCCAAACCATGTCAAATGCTGAACCTGAAACCCGGAAACTCCAGTTTGTAAATCCTGCGCCATCCCTTGTTAGCCCCCCCTTACAAAGGACTCCAAAGGCTGTTGTTGCGCCGCAGGCCATGCGGAAGAGCGGAGCTGGGGGCCTTGGGCATGGCTCTCAGAAGCGGAAAATGTGTAGCGAACTCGTAAAAGGTTTTAGAGTCTAGGTTTTTCGCGCGGTTTATTCAGCAACTCTGGAATCAGGAGAAAGGATGATTGAGCAGAATCAGTTCTGTTTTTGCTTAGCTTTGTAGGGTTTTGGAAGCTATTCTTCAGGGCTTGGGGTGAGGACTTTGAGCTTCAGAGTTATCTGGTAATCCAGGGACCCAACCCCCAAACGCAACTTGCGCGGCGTCAGGGTTGCTACAGAACCCTGGTTTGTGTAGGTTTCCAAGCGGAGACGGACCCCTCATCAAGCACAAAACTATAACCCTAAACCCAAAATAGTCCATTCTAGTAGTTTCCATTTTCGTTTCCATTATCCCCACATAACCCCAATATAACCCCAATACCCTCAACTGTCTGAGGCTGTACCAAAGCAACTTTCCGAACCTGGCGGAATTTTCCATTGCCGACTTCCCCTGGACGGCCTGGTGCGTTTGGGGGAAATCTGGTGAATCATGCCTAGGAATGCGGGATCAGGGTTTAGGGTTGGGGGCAGCGTGTTGAGGGGTACGGTTTACGGATAAGGGTTTAGGGATTGGGGTTCGGAGGTCAGAGTTTGGGGGTATATTGGGGTTTGGGTGGATACTTCAGCAATGTGTGCAGTGTCTTCGGGGTTAATTTGGACCTCTCTCTTGAGAGATGCAGATGAGCGTTTTCAACAGAGTGCGGTCCTCAGGTCCTAGTGCATATGGTAGGTCTGCCGTTTGGCTGTGCTGGAAACTGCAAGGCATTCAAACCTGGCATAATTGCTATTAATTGCAGTACCATATACAGGTGTATATATATATATACACACACGTTTTCTGTGTATCGTCCGTAAGAGAGCAACTAGTTCAGGAACTACAACTGGGGTGTCTTATCAATAAAAGTCGTCCGCCGCCAAGGAGCCCGCCCCACAAAAAGAGTGTGGACACGTGCTAAAAGGCAAAATGGAATGCGTGCTTCTGCGAGGCCCGTGCGCGGATCTTTGTGACGGCCGTGAATCCAGACACGGGCGCGCTCAGCCGCGAACTCGTTGTTCCGCGTTTCCTCATGGAAAGCTTGGTAGTTACCAGTTGAATACTGGTACCTTATAAACGTGATAACATGCGCATCTAAGAGCAATGGGCGCCGTAACGTGTTCTTTGTTCAAAAAAGCCAAGATAGTCCTTGAGGAGGGTCCCTCTATCTCCGCATCTTCAGTATGCACACACATAACAGGGTACCCTAGAGATAAAGAAATAGGAAAATCAGGAGGAGCCTAAGATCTGAGAATTCACCCATAGGATACCCCCGATATACCGTATACATAACTTATTGTGTACACAACTAAAAACCCTATAGCCTATATAATACCTTATGGAACATATTCTGAGTACCATCTGTATATACCTTGCAGAATACCATATAGAATACCCTATAGGATGCCTCATAGAATACTGTATAGTATAACTTCTATACTACCTCCTAACAAGCTCATATACCTCCTACTTACCTTTTCGAATACCATCTGGAATACCCTATATGGTATTCTATTTTATAAGGTATTATCCAGGGTATTACGTATACATTATTATTATTATGTTTAAGGTATATAGAGAGGTATTCTGTAAGGTATGCTAGAGGCTATTATCCTAGATTTCTGATTTCCTTCACTTAAAACTCAATAATCATTATTTAAACCCTTATCTAGATGGCACTATATAGGGTATTATGAAGGGTATTCTATGAGTGTTCTATAGGTTATACAGGGGGTATCATATTTACGGGATATTCTATCAGGTATTCGATAGGGTATTCTAGATAGCCTTTGTATAAGTTATATATAGGCTTATATAGAGTCCATAGGGGGTATTGTATAAAGTATTCTATAAGGTATCCTGTAGGGTGTTCTTTAGGATTTTCTACAGGGTATTCTTCTATATTTAACTCTGTAAGGTATATAGAGGGGGTATTCTGTAAGGTGTTGGATAGGATGCTGTTCCATTTGTAACAAGAAGTATCATTCATACGATCGGGCATGGGCACATGATGTCAGGGGTATCTGCGAATGATGTGTCACTTCGAGGGCCAAGGGTTTAGGGATCCTTTAATGCATATTCAAGATATTGGGTTTAGACTGAACTTAGAGTGGGAGATCTGATAGGGAAAGACCTAAATAAGCGAAGCCGGAAAAATCAAACCGGAAAAACCAACAAAAAAACAAAAACAAAAACGGAAAAACAAAAACAAAAAACAAACCAACAACACACACAAACACCAAAAAAACACAATATTCCAGAAGTCCTCTTCCCAAGGCTCAACACTGGGACTTTTTTGTTGTTTTTCCGGTTTGTTTGTTTTTTGTTTTTTCCGGTTTGGTTTTTCCGGCTTCGCTTATTTGGGTCTTTCCCTATCAGATCTCCCATTATAAGTTTAGTCTAAACCCAATATCTTGAATATACATCAAAAGATCCCTAAACCCTTGGCCCTGGATACATCAAAGGATCCCTAATCCCTTGGCCCTGGATACATCAAAGGATCTCTAAACCCTTGGCCCTCGAAGATGATGATGTAGAAGAGGCGAAAAAGGTAGATCCATGGGGGGGGTACCATATGTATATATATATGTATATGTACATTTATACATAAGTATACATCTCTCTCTCTCTCTCTTTCTCTTTTTTTTCCCCCTCTCTCTCTCTCTCATTCTTTTGTTGGGGTTCCTCTAGGGTATCCAATTTGAGAAGCAGCCATGTCAAATGGTTCGAGTTTACAGCTGGGAGGCCGGCGTCTGGGCGGCTAATCCCAAGCCCATATGAGCGTTCCCAAAAGTTGGCGTCCCCTTTTGGTTGGTCCGCATAAGAAGGACGATAGTATTTCGGTGTATAGAATGGGGATCCCTTGTTTGGAAATGCCCACATGATCCTAAAACTGCATATCCCATACTCCTTCCCCAACAACTCCTTATGCAACCCCGTTCTAGTGTCAGAAGGCCCATGTAGTCCCTGATACTCTTGCACAATCCTTTCTATCTCCCCAAGCTTCCACTTTGCCACGCGCAACAGCTTTGGGACCAAGGCCCGTCACCAGTGCAGTCGGCTGTCATCATGCGCAAGGTCTGCGGAGCTCACTGCCTCAGGTGCTTAGCGAGAAAACGGTGTTTGGAGGTACATTAGACAAGCAGTACATGAGCAGAATCTGAGGCTTCAGACGGGTTATCTTTTACATGGAACATGACAGCAGGCTTTTGCAAGGATTATGTGTGCAGTATGGGGTTTTGTCCGAGACTGCTTCAAGATGCAACCTGAAGATGCTAGGATCCTTGCTCAAGACAACCCCATATCTAATGACTCTACATGACCACAGCCAACAAACAGAAGCTAGATACCAATTTGTTGTAGCAGGCGGTACCTGAGAAGTAGGGAGTGGAGTATGCACATTCATCACAAGGGGATCTAGGCTGTGGAAGTTGCAAGGTGCGACTCTGAAGGAGCGTGCCTAGCTTGCGACAGTGGCTACGTGCTGGAGGCCGAGTCGATGGCGCGGGCATCATCCTCATAGCGCAATATACAAAAGTGGTAGTTGCAGGAGTCGCCATCTCCATGGCAATAGTAGCAGCATCAGCCGCAGCGACGGCGGCGGCGGCAGCGGCGGCGGCGGCGGCGCCGGTGGTGGTGGTGGTGGTGGTGGTGGTGGTGGTGGTGGTGGAGGTGTAGGCGGCAGCGGCACGATTTTTACTGCAGAGCTATCATTGAATTAGTAAGTACTCGCATAACGTGTTGGCATGTTCCAATACTGTCCGCGGTTGCACGTGCTTGGCAGATCTGCGGAATGCTCGGAAGCTGCCTCGCTTGGCAGGAGCGGCCCCAAGACGAACACAGGGCAGGGGCCCTGACAAAACAGATTCCAAGGGTTGTAAAGGCAGAGTAGAGCCATGATGTGCTCTCAGTTCAGAACACAACTTGAGGCGTGCAAGGCAGCAGCTCTTATACACAGCTAAATCCCGTGCTGCCGTCAAATGGAGCAACCACTTGCCGCATGCTGTGCAGACAAGCTACGCTGCCACAGATTTGGCTCTGCAATGCTCTGCCCAAATTTATGAGTCTGGGTGCTTGCCTGGGGAGGGACAGTGCGCATGTCCCTGCAGGCACCCGCAATTGCGCGCCTGGCACGCGTTTGCCTGCTCGACGCTCAGACGATCCGTTACAACTTCCTGCATAGGGATGCCCAGAATCCCTTCTGTTCCCCTGCATCTTTCCAGGATCACGCCGTTAGGAAGCTACTGAGTGATGGAGCAAGGAAAGATTCCCGGCTTGGGAGGCCATGTGGCGAAGGATGTGCACGGTGCCAGCAGTCAGGCAAGGGAAAGACTCCTGTGTAAAAAGCACGATGATAAGTGCTGTTCGCAGTCCTCCTTCAGCTGAGTTGTCCTTCCTACTCGTACTGCTGCTGCTGCTGCTGCTGCCTTCAGTGGCACTAAAAACCAGTGTTTTGAGTTGGAGTATTAAGAACCCTTGCAAGTATATGAACTGTGGTAGTGGTTTAGGAGAGATCAAGGTTCAGATGCGAGCCGTTGCTGTTCAGTCAGGATCCTGATTGTGATTCAGCTACTGACAGTCATGCGATTGATATTCCCATTGGCTCATCATTAGTCATGCCAGGGCGCTGAATAAGAATGATCCCCCTGACAGTCATTCTGTGCTGTGTCTATCATTCACCTACTGAGGCTTTGTGTTTTCGGTTAACGAAGATTCTGAAGTCATATTGGGAAACTACGCTGCAGAGGTTTTTCAAGCCATGACGTAATCATTCATTTATCACTATCGAATCACGGTGGCCTTTTCAGAGCAGTTTAAATAGTCGTTTCAGATCACTAAACTTCGCAGTTCAATCATTACCCACAGTTGAGATTACTAAATAATCGCGAATAAATCTGCAAATAGTCAAGTCCCGTACCTGGAATCCCTACATTTAAAACTACGGAAAAGATAGTAGCTAGCGAGTTCTACTAAGCCACATCTTGCAGGTCCCGGGCGATGCGACCCTGGGAGGTGCATCCTAGGCAGGCTCTGCAAGGGATGGGTCTTCCAAAATGGGTCCACACACCAGCAGTCCGCAGAAGGGGAAATCGCGAGAATTACTACCGGTTCAATCAGAGCCATGTAGGTTGTCCTAAGGCCCAAGTCATAAAGTAGCAAAAACAAAACGGATATTTGGCGATGTAATTATGCATGCACACAGGCTTGGAAAAATCCCTAAGTTGCGGGCAGCTGAGCGGGAGTGTATCTCAGGTAGCAGGAAATTCATGACAAGGTTGAGGCTTTTGGGCCATATGCTTGGTGGAGGTTGTAGTTTCGCGCTGAAGGCGTCTGCGTACAAAAGATATCATGCATCCGAAAATTGCTTGCCACATTTCAGGGGTGCATGTCAACGGCCAGGGCTCTGCATTTGCTTTGACCTTTGGGCGTGCATCGCTCTGCCACAAGTAGATGAGCCGGGAATTAGCAGCCAGAGTATTTGGTGGTCATGCCAAACAGCACCAGGACCACCACTGCTAAGCAGCTAGCTCCTCAGCACATCCAAGCCGCGGATTGTTCTGCTCAGATGTCAGGTCGAGGGCTCTCACTGAAGGGCCACTGCCGCATGCCTCAGTGTGCAGACTCTGAAGTGCCTGTGGCATATGGGGACTCCCAAAACATGGGAACCTTTATTGAGGTATGTAGCTATTTCCCGGAAATCAGCATCCTACTACTCCAGATCGGGAATGGGGGAATGGGTCACAGGGACCGTTATGGCGCTTCATCTACGGTCTGCTATAGGGATCCATTCGCTCAGCCCCTACAAAGCAACAGGTAGGTGTTTGGGTTTCCATCAGTTTAAGGCTCCTGGTCTTGCGGGGTGCGTCTCGATGTCTGTGCCCTGCGTGTCCCTGAAATCATCGTCTTATTTTGCAAGTAGCGCCTTTTGCTCACCATGACTAGGGATTGACCCTCTTATACTGATAAGGCCCCTAATTAGGCGGTGTTCAAGTCTCCCTGCCATAAGCAAAAGCCCGGATTTAACAAGCTACCGCAAGCATTTTGCTGCCCACATGTTTGGTGCAAGCACCGCAAGCTCTGTTTTGACCACCTTAATCGCCGTACGTTCTCATCATCAAAAGGCGCACCGTAAACGTAAACGACCGTAAAACCTGGGCTTCGTGAGCTAGTTCAATCACCATAATAAGCGAAAAAGATAATGTCAAACTAACGTTGCAACGTCTTGATCACCACTCCGCTGGGACTCTCACACTCCATTTGCAGTCAATCGTTCATGTATTCCGAGAATTTTCCTAGGCTCCCTAAGGTCACCCTTTCTTTCAGAATCCCCATGCACTCAGGTCTGCCCTGCGCCGGGAGCATCTGCTCCAGTTGCGATGAACAGGCCACTTGCGAACTAGGCTTCAGGGACTGCTGCCCATCTGGAGAATTGAAAAGTTTGTGCAAATATATATATATACACACTATACATATATATATGTTATACAGTGAAGGCAAGAGAGTAATATCTCACGCGAAGGCTCGAGAGTCTTGCTCCAGATTTGCTCTGAGGGACTCGGAGCAAGTTTGTGGAAATCTACCATCTTCTTCCAAAACACATCACAGGACCTAGACGTCTGGAACATTTATTGAGAAAACCTTGTTGCTTCTTATCCAAACATGAGAACTGCTGTGACAATCCTGTTCCGGTACGTGGCTTGGTTAATCTATGGTCCACGTCAAGAGTGCATTCTGAGAAAGAAGTCTTGGCCTTCACCGATCCTTGAATGATCTGGGATTTCTCCACGTCACAAACCAGCCCTCACATGCCTAAGGCCCGTATGCAACGCTGATAGCATCCTGCCTCGCAACCCTTGTAGTTCAAAGGAATTCGAATTGAACAAGGTCCCTATTAATCCCTGAGTTGGTTTCGATCAAACCCAGATTGTGCCATGTCCTGAAAGGCTAGAAGCCGCAGCTTGGCACTCGGGAAACTGGGATTATGTACAGATAGTTACGGGTATACGTGGCTTCCCCACTAAGAAGGGGCAAGTTCTTCAGACAAGGGAGTTTGCGGGCTGCTTCTTTGGAATTCTGTTTTGGTGGGTTGTGTGGTCGGACACCTGGTTTTTCGGCACATACATGCCCCCATACCCCTAGAAAACACTTGCACAAGCTGTGTATGTCTCGCTGGAATCCCAAGAAGGGCACTAGCATTCCCGCGTATACCCAGATGAGGTCGCACCATGGCGGATGGTAGCGACGAGACGAGTGATGCCACGGAGCTCCCATGCGGCCACCTAAATTTCTCCAACACGATTTAAACCTCGGACTAGAAGCCGACAATGCGGGAAGTTTGTGAAATCACATTGTCTCAATTCTGGGCATTCGGGTGCGCAGCTATCGCATGCTGGTTTGAAAGAAGCGGCCTCACTTGCTGCTGCCGTTTTTCCCCAATCCACTGACCGTACCTAGAACTTCTTGAACTCATAACTTCAGGTGGGAAGAGAAAGTTGTTGGCTTTGACCTTGAACCTGCAGACATAAGAAACTTTTGCTGCCTGTAACCTTGACAAGACAATGAAAAGGTGCACTTGACACGCGCGGTGCGGTATTCCAATCGTTCAGGTCGTGATGACAACAAGAACAATGCAAGAACTCTTTCTGCTGGGGGTACCAGCAGAGGCGCTTTTACTTGGGTTGCTGCTTCGAACTCAAAGTGCATTATGTTAATGTAGAAGCCTGGGTACTAACCGATACAATCGCTTGTTTTGCTCTTGTGCCGTTCATAGCACTGTACACCAACTACTCCAGTTCAGGCTCCAACAGTACTATCATAGGCATACCATCAACTCTGAACTCTAAACCCTGGAGCCCGAATCCTTAGACTCACAAGCCCTGAACCCTCAACTGTAAAATCTAGACCCAAAGCCCCTCAATCAAAAACTCACAACCGCTAGGATCCGCTAAGCCTACATTGAAAACTTTTATAGCCCTCAACCTCAAACCCTGAAAACCACGTGGAGATCTCAACAGGTTCTCTCATTTTGGGCAACCGTCATTTGAAACTCACAACGCCTGTAATTTGACCCAAAGCCCCTTACAACCGTAACGCTTTCCTCTATAAGGCCGCCGCTGCCCAGCTACGTTTGGCTTGGCCAGCGACCGCCGGACCTGTGAGCTCTTGTCCCAGCTGATCTCTCCGTAGCTTTGCTTGGATTCCAGAAAGGTCTGTGTATTCAACCAGTAATTATACGTCTATGCCGAAGCACATACTGCAGACTGTCCGATACTAGGACCACTCAGTGTTCAGGCTTAGGCTTGTTGGCTATTTGTTTAAGATGCTGCTGTTCACCGTATGCAGTAAGTGTTGTTGTTAGGATTGCTCCTGTATCATCATAATTATCAGTGTTGTCATTCGTAGTGTTGCCTCCATCCCTAGAATCCCTGATGGTATCCTGCCTTGACCAACCCCAAGTCCTAAACCCTAGTCCCCATGCCCTCCACAAGA